CCCAGTCAGTGGTTTCCCTTTTTACCCTACTGGAGTCATGCTTACTTTTTAACCCTCCATCTTGGTGTTGCCTCCTCTGGCAAACCTTTCCTACCTCCTCGGCCTCTTTCCGGTTGGGAGCTCCTTTAGGCTCCCACAGCCCCTATGTTCTCCTTACTGTCCTTTTATTGACTAACTGATATTGTAACGTCTCTAACAGGGACACAGTCACCTCTGTATCTCCAGAACCAGGCCATGCACAAAGGAGAGCCCTCAGTGAATGTTGGAGGGAGGAAAAGAGGACCCTAAGAGTTCTAGTTTGGAGCTCTGCAGTCCCAGGTGCAGGAGTCAGGCCTGCTGAGAATGCCTGATCGCAGTAAATGCATCTGTGATGATGGAGTAGTGGGACAAAGGGGTAGCCAGTGCAGAACAGGTGGGAGAGAGGCCCTGAGTGAAGAGATTATCAAGGTGTGGAGCACAGGTACAAAATGGAACTAGTAATAGTAACATCAGAAATTAACTTCAGAAACTAACTTCAGGTGAAGACAATGCTACTCAAAGAAGACCAAAGCTGATACCCTCCACTCTCCAGCCCTTTTACCAATTCTCACACCAGCCACCCCGTACACAACACTCTCTGCTTCTCTTCTGGGTTTGAAAATTAGTTGCAATTGACCACACAGAACTCACAGTTCATACTTACAGTTAAATGGTTTAAGGAAATAATAAATTATAATTCAGGACGAGGATCAGGAAACATGTAAGCAAAGTTTCCGTTCTTCAGAGCAGAACAGCTCTCTCGGCTCCTCATGGCCCTGCTACCTACAGTCATGAACTCTGCCGTGAGACCCCCTTGGAGCCTGTCTCTCCCAGCCCTGCTGTGCCCGTTACCACTGGCTCTGCGATGGGACCATGCCATCTTGCTATCTTCAGTATCACAGCCATTGACCTATGTTACAGATCTTTTAGGAATTTTAGGAAGTCCATGTATCATTCTTCCTCTTTCTTTTTCTCTTCTTTCTTCTGCTTCTCTTCCATGTTCTGTTTGAAAAAAAACCTCTGCATATATATGCAATGTATAAATTTCAAGGCACAGCCTATCCCAGTAGAGGAAGTTACAAACTGACCAATCCCTTCTAGGTGGGCTATGAACACTTTATTTGCATATCAAGCTACATAGGATTCACCTCTCTGGATAGTTAAACCAGGCTGCTCCTTGGAGGCAATGATTTTGAAGCTTTGTCTGACATACTTTGGACATTTTGCAAGGAGGGACCAGTCCTTAGAGAATGATGTCATGCTTGGGAGGGTGGAGGGACAGCGCAGGAAAGGAAGACCCTCTATGAGGTGGACTGATTCAGTGACTGAGGTAATCAGGGTGGGTGTGTCAGAGACAGTGAGATTGGCGCAGGATAGAGCAGGGTTTAGGGCTGTTGTAAATAGGTTGTTATGAGTCTCAGGCGACTTGATGGCACATAACAACAACAACTTTGGATAGTTAACAATAAGTTCATTTGCACATTATATTGACTAATCCCTTGCAAATTGCTACTGGTCATAGAGCAGGCTGCAGTCTAGGAGGAGAGGGGGGAAAATCAAACTAAAAGCTTTTTACATTTTACCCAAGAAATAATCAACCTGGACAAAAAGTAAACTCTCAGGAGCAGAAAACAAAATTCTCAGAGGATTAGTGGAGGAAATATCTCAAAATGTTTCCAAAACAAAACCAAAGCAAAAGATCATATACATAAAGCACTCATTTCACCACAACAGCCCATTATTCATTGATTCCATGAATTTCTATAGTATTGTTCTAGATACTGAAAGGAGAAGCTAATATGGTCCTTGTTCTCTTGGATATCATTATGGCTCAACCTTCATCATTATAATCATCTACAAAAGTATGAGAGCTGCCATTGTCCTAAGCTCATTCTGTTTGTGAACTCATTTTTTCTTTATAAACCCTAAAATTGGTAGCACTAGACAGATGAGGAAATTGAGTTATAGCAAGGTTAAGAGACAGCTCAAGATCACACAACTAGTAGGGGACAGTGCTAGTATTTGAGCCGGGAATCAGGCTGCAGAGCTGGATCCCTTTACTTATCTTTTCTAGTCCCAGGGGCTTGACCCTTTCTAGCTATGAGCCCTTTCCATACAGTTGTCACCCTAGATTCCATTAAAAAGATCTGCAAAGAGCTGTCATCTCTGTTGCACAGGTGAAGTGGAAGAGAAAGAACAAAACTCTATTTTTAGCCATTATTATGAGTCACATTATACACTCCAAAGTGGTGTGGCTGCAGTGACTGATCTCCTCTAGTTTTATGATGTGGGGAGAGAATTACCATCAGCATCAGCGTCAGTCCAAGGCTGGCAGATGTCAGACACGCCTCCTCTCTCCAGTCTTCTTTTAATTCATCTGTGACACCGCCCCCCCCATCCTCTAATTCTCTTCCGGATTCAATAATTTGTTACAATGGCCACACAGAACTCACAGACCACACTTAAAATGATCGGGTTTATTAGAGAAGTAACAGGTTACCATTCAGATCAGGAAAGACTCAGGATACAGTTCCTCAATCAATACAGCCCCTTCCTAGCCTGCAGGTAGGTCTCCCAATAGTCCTTGGTTTTTCAGATTTTAACCCCTCAGTATTTTGAACCCCCTTGGACAAACCTGGAGTCTGTCTTGCTCAGACAGTGTTACAAAAGTTCTTTAGCACACCTGACAAGTGCCCAGAGGCACCCTACTCTGCTAACAAGCTTCCTGTCCAAAAGTGCTCAGCGTTCTCACTCCACGGGTCACGAAGCCTACCTGCACCAAATGGCCAAAGACACTCAACTTACCAAACATGTCTTCTGCCCAGAGGTACCCACTTTTCCCGCTCTGGTTCCAAAGAAAAATCAATGCCTTTAAATTAATGATGTTGGAAAAGAGTCTTGAATATACTGTGAAAGAGCAAACAAATCTATCTTGGAGGAAGTGCAACCAGGATGCTCCTTAGAGGCAAGGATGGTGATGCTTTGTCTCATATACTTTGAGCATGTTTTTAGGGGTGGCCAGTCCTTGGTAAAAGACATCACGCTGGGAAAGGCATCAATCTTCAGGGAATGAGATAGGTTGATGCAGTGATTCTAACAACAGGCAAAGCATGCCAGAGACCTTGAGGATAGTTCAGGATAGGGTCATTATCAATCAGACTTAACTGAACAACACCTAACAATATCATCATACATTGGTAGTGCAGTCTATAAGGAGTCGTGCTGTTAACCCAAGGGTCATGTTTTTCTGGTAGTTTGAATCCACGAGCAGTTGGTGGAGAGAAAAATAGGTCATTTCCTCCTGTGGGATTTGGAGCTTCTGAAGCCCTTTTGGAGGTACAACTATGAGTCAACGATCAGCCAATGAAGATGAATTTAAGTTTTGACTTTTTATTCCACCACCTTGGGGAGCTCTGATGGCATAGTCCACAGAGAGTTGTCCTTTTTTGTGTGTGTGCCCAAGTTTATTGAAAATATTACATACAGCACAGCAGACAGCTCCACGTGGAGCTTTGAAATTCATCCCGATGGTGGGTTGAGTGACCTGCAGCTTGGACAGACTGCCAAAGTCCAAGAGTTTCAGCATTTCCTTAGTATCAGGATCTACTTCAATGATCTCCTGATCCAGGGCTGAAACCTCTGGTACATAATTCTCTCTCCTTTCTCTCCCCTCCTCCTGCACCTTAAGGAGATGCCTCCCACAGGCCCTGAGTCCGCTTCATCAGATGTGCGATCTCGCACACATGCTTGTTCGTGTGGAAGTCATTACCCAGGCACGGGTAGTATTTCTCAGTGATGACCCGGGCCGCCTTCATGATTTTGGTGCAAACGTGGCCCATGTTGGTGGGTCCTTGGTGAAAGATCAAGAGTTGTCCTCCTTACCCAACACTTCTCTGGCAGTTCAACGCCACCAGAGGTAGATCGGCCATTTACAGTAATTTACAGTCTCTGAAAACTTGCTGGAGGGTTAGCTATCAATCAATTCTAACTTGACAGCAAGAAGAGAGTTGAACATCCATCATTTGCAAGACAGAAGGGCAGTCTCCTCCCATAAACATTTACCACTTCTAGAAGGGGTTTGTTCTTTTTGTGTTATGTTGTTGTTGTTTTAATTATTCAGCAATGTGGTGAAAGTAACAATGTCTAGGAGAAAAACACATCAAATAAACACTGCAGCATAAATAGGTTCATGGCCTTTGCCCTCTGGTTGGGTGTCTATCATCTTTTCATCCTGGCTTTTGCCCCAGGCTCCTACAGAGCCACTCAGGCTTTCCCATCTTGCCATGTCCCTGTCTGGTTCCTTCATCACATCTTACTTTCCTTTCAGCCATTATAAGACAAAAACTAAACCCAAACCAATCTACTGCCATTGAAGTGACTCAGCTGACTATCCATCAGGTTTCCACGGTTGCATTTGTCTTTAGAGTTCCCTTTTTCCGTTCGGACAAGTGTTCCTTGGTCTATAGAAAGGTTTCATATAAGCAGAATTAAGCATTCTGAGACTCTCATTCTTAATGTCAGCTCTAATTTGTTATGATCCATATAGTCAAAAGCTTTTGTATAGTCAATACCACAGAAGCAAACACCTTTCTGTTGTCTTCTGCTTTCAGCCAAAATCCACCTGACATCAGCAATTGTGTCCCTCATGTTCATGGCCTTTTCTGAATCCAGTTTTAATTTCTGTCAGTTTCCTATAGATATACTGTTCCAGCTTTCTTGGGGATAATCTTCAGTAAGCTTTTACTTGTACTCGATATTAATGATACTATTCCATGACTTCCTCATGAAATATAGGAATTAATAGAGAGGATGAGGGACCTCTCCAGAGTACTGACAAGCAACGATGTCAGTCTAGAGACTAAGGTGCACCTGATCCAGTCAATGGTCTTCATAATTACTTGCTATGCATCAGAGAGCTAGACAATAACTAAAGATGACAGAAGAACCGATGCCTTTAAGTTGTGGTGCTGGAAAAGAGTATTGAACATACCATCAGGAAAACAAATAGGTCTGTCATGGAGAGGGTGAAACCAAGATTCTCCTTGGAGGTTAGGATGTTGAAGCTCTGTCTCATTTTGGGCCAGAAGGGACCAGTCCTTAGAGAAAGATATTATCCTTGGAAGGGTGGAATGATAACAGAGGAGCCTAAGACCCTGATGAGATGGATTGATACAGTAACTGGGGCGATGGGGGTAGGAGTGTTGGAGTCAGTGAGACTGGCTCAGGACAGCACAGAGTTCAGAGCTGTTTTATACACGCACACACATTGTTGTTAAGTGCTGTCGAGTCGTAGGCAACTCATAGCAGCCCTATGAACGAAAGTGCTTGACACTTGCATGACTTTCATCCTTTCTCCAGGTTCACAGGGTGTCCGGAGGCAAGCTATTTATGGAAGTGAATGCCACTCCTGCTTCCAAGCTTGTTTTAATTGGGGAGCTCCACCAAACACTGTCCACCATAGGCAACCATTATCTTATTTACACATAATGTCACAGTGTTCAGCTTCACAGCAACCACAAGTTACCTCTGTATGGCAAGTGGACATACCAGGGCTATACGACCTAGAAGAAGATTTGACCAAAACCAATTAAAAACAGGCCTATATACATATATGTCTACGTTATATATATATTAGTATAGTTATTATTTTATGATATATATGTTATATATAGGGTCTCTGTATATTGCAGGCAACTTGACGGCACATAATAACAACAACAGCAACAATCTATCAAGTGGAAAAAAATCTCCATGTTTATTCATGAAAGGAAGAGGGTATCATTTGGGATCAACCTATGTGGGAGGGATTATGATAATTAAATACACGTGCAGTTGTACCATTGGCAGTCCTAGTTAGATCTTGTGGGGAAGATGGCAGAGAGGATGCATGAGTCAGGTAATTTTAGGAACACGTGCTTTAAGGACAGCTGCCTCAAGGTGAAGTGCTTAATCATCACAGAACATGCCCTTGCAAGTTGACTGTCCTCTAGAACGTCATTCAGGGGTGACTTTCATGGCAACTGAAAGCTCTTAGGAAGGTCAGAGGTTGTTAAGAGGGAATACCTGGGGGCACCTAGGCTCCTCCTGTGTTCCTGGACCTGGTGATGTCTGCACTGGCGGAATGCTGGCCTTCTTGATCTGAACCATCTCAGGGAAAAATAACTCAGCACATCATGTAAAGAGAAAAAAGGAGATGGGAAGACAAGAAAGTCTGTGATGCAGAGTAAACCAAGTAGTAATTCAGTTAAAGTTTAACACAGTTAACATTTTCCTTCCCTCTCATTGAAAAAGTCATCTTTGGTGGCCTAGTGGCAAGAAGCTGCACTGCAATAAGGAAAAAGTGATTCCTGATCAGAAGGGGAAGATCGTTACTCTGTTAAAAGAAGGAAGTGATGCTCAGCTATAGACTGCAAGATTGAGGCAAACTACCCCAGTTAAAGGATTTAAACCTAACAGGGAGGTCTTCCTCAGAACGGTCCTTCAAGACCAACAGGATATTTCTCCCTTTTAAAATATTGTTAAATGGTAGTTTTCTGTTGCAGGAAAGCAATACCAAACTATGGGGTTCTGTAATTCACCGCAATGTGTCACAGAACTCACCTGCCATTCAAATGACTCACACAGTTGTAGAGGCTGCTATGTCCCAAATCCATGGGCCAGGGGTCAGTCTGGTCCTTGCTTTCAACCCATATGGTTGCAGATGTTGAGCAAACCAAATTAGCAGGTCAGACAACAGGCTGCTGGCTCACAAGGCTAAGGAATTTGGCAAATCAGGTCAGATGAGAGGCTGTTGGCTCACGTTCCAAGAACCAGAGGTCAGATGATGATGTGGAGCTGAAGAGTTTTGCCAGAACATTCGTATATATTGGATGCAGACCATGCTCTCAAGGAAACTCTCCTTGTTTGAACAATGTGGTTGGAAGGATGGTGACTTGAGTTACCCCTTTAGTATAATTAAAGAGACACACCATCCTTATTCTTGCCTCATTAACATAATGGACATCTCACTTCCAAATGGGGCCACAACTACAGGCATAAAATGAAGCATAATTCTATCATTATATAACCACTAAATCATATAATTACATATCTGTCAAACAAGGGAAAAATCACGGTCCATTCAATCTGACCTATAACCTTAATCAATCATAGCAGGTTCTTTACATCTTATTTGCATTCACAGCAGGCTGGTCAGTCTCCTGGGTTTGCTACAAGCATATTATTTCTATCAAACTCACCTCATTCTGAGGAGTCAAAATTGACTCACAGCTAACCCTCTAGTGGATTTTATTTTTTAGAGGCTCTCAACCACAAGGAAAGAGAATTCCCATCTTTCTCCTTTGGAGCAGCTGGCGGATTTGAACTGCATGCCTTTGTGTTGGCAGCACACCTATTTCAACTTCAGCTCCATCCCATAGTTGCATGGGAGTCACAAACATTATGGCTAGAAGGGTCATCTAAATAATACACCGCACCAAAAACTGCTACAACAATCAAATCTCTTTTGGAAGAAATAGAATTAGAATGCTTCTTAAAAAGGTAGACGGTGTTTCATGTCCTTTGGACAGGTGATCAGAAAGGGATCAGTCCTTGAAGATGGGCATCATGGTTAGCACAGCAGAGGATCAGTGAAAAAGATGAAGGTGTTTCAACAAGATCGATTGGCAGACAAAGGAGGTGCAACCATAGGCTCAAACATAGCAGTGATTTTTGAAGATGTCACAGACATCTCTCAGTTGTCAATTCTGAGGTGCAATTAAAGTCACCCTAAGTCAGCACTGACTCAAGAGCATCTAAGAACCACAAAGTGTGGACTGAAAGGGGCCTGTTTACCTGAAACCAGTCCCTACAAACTTGAGCTTTCACACCACACTGGCCAGCACTGACTTCTCAGCCCCCAAGTCACCTGCAGGTCCCTCAAGTCGCGATATGAGAAGAGAACCACAGGAGAATGTTTTGGGGTCAGAACAGGCTGTCTGCAAGAGGTGAGTGGTTTTCCAGGCAGGGGAAGCTTAAGGTAAGAAGGTAGAGTTTGGGAAGCCATTCCATTTGCCTTGGCAGGTTAGGAATCCAAGGTCTGCAGGATGCAGAATATGGCGAATTTCCTCATCCTGGAGTTGTCGACACTGCATCCAGCCCAGTGTCATCCAGTGCAAGCTCTCCTGTCAGCCCTAGAGGTAGGATGCATTTTTTCCTCTTTCCTGAAGGACCTAAATCTAATGGAGATTGGGCGCCCCCTGGGAGCAGACTTTGGTAGTGGACGCTGGAGGACCCAGATGGAAAAGGGGGCAGTTCAAGAAAGAAAACCTGCCCGCAAGTTTTCTTCTCACCAACTCGAGTTTGTTGGATACCTGGGATCACAAAATGGCTAAACCGGAAGAGACCCTGGAAAAGGAGCTATCCACACGTGCCTCCTGTCAAGCCCTGGGCTGGGCACGTTTTCCCGAGCACTGTTCAATCCTCCTAATTGCTTCGAGGTAGGTATAAACTCCATTTTTCAGTTATGGAAATAGAGGGCTACTGACTTTTCAAGGAGGGATGAGTCTCAAGATTTGGAAGATACTGGTTCCAGGACATTGGGAGAAACAAGAATGGTGGTGAAGATGCTCAAGCTTTCCAACGGGAGGTTGTGTATGGGGAGAGAAACCACGCCTCCCTTATCGCGATAGCAGCGATAGCGGGTTGCTTCCTTTAAGAGCCATCCTGTGAAGCCCCAGGGAGACGGACACCACAGTGTTCCTAGCTACTGACTGTCTTTTCCGCTTCTGCTGGCAACTGTCCCCCACTGGCGACATACAGTTTCCTCCTCCGTTAGAGAGCAAAGCCTCGGGACTACATTTACCGACAGGCCATTGGAAGAGGCTTTCGGTTTCGCAGTGTGGCAAGCTCGGCGTGGTACACGTTTCTGGCGCCTCCGTCCTTTATCTGTAAGAGCTAAGAGAGGGACTACGTCCCCCAGCGGGCACTGGCACAGAGGGCGAGCGGTCCAGGCTGACATCTTTACTGTAGTCCTTTTCCCTTCTCCTGCAAGAAGCAACCCAAGCGGGTGGACTACAATCCCACGTCGCCGTCTCCCGTTCCCTTGGGTCTCCCAGTCGGCTGGTAGTCCCCGCCCCGTTCCCTTTCCATTGTCTGCTGAAGATAACAGAGGGAAACCGGGAAGACTACAACTCCCGTCGTGCACTGCGGCTCCCCGTGGGGGAATTTTGATATTCCAGGCGGGCGAAGTGCCCAAGGTGGTAGAATGAGCCGACGGAGACAGGTTTAGGTATCCTGCCATCTTTCTGGTAGTCTCTGTATCCTTCTAATCCTGCCACTCTTAAGGGACACCAGAAGCCTAGAAAACTACTATTCCCATCGCACCGCAATGGGCTTGACTACCAGTCAGGTGTACGCCCCTCTTTCGCCATCTTGCTTGTAGTCCTCGTTTCTTTTCACCTTTCCATTGTTCCTGACGAGTAGAAATGGCAGCGGGAAGGCAGCAGAGGGACTGCGACTCCCGTCAGGTACCACACACGCGAAGGGTTGTGGACCGGAGGGCGTGTGATTGCCTGGGAAGGAGGTCGGGTCGGGAGAGAAGGCCATCTTGTTTGTAGTCATCGTTCCCACTCCTTCTGTATGTTATGGAACTGGGAGCCTCGGCGCAGCCGGACTATAACTCCCGGTATCCTCTGCTCCGGAGTGGCGCTCCCGACGCCATCTTGTTTGTAGTTCCTGCAGGTCTCGGCGTCCTAGCATTTGCACAGTAGGCCGGCGTCCGCGGGACTACGACTCCCGTCGTGCCCTGCGCGTGCTCGTCCTGGAAAGGGGCGGTGGTGTGGGAAGGCGGGGGCAGGGGGCGGGGTTCCTCTTGGGAGAAGGAGGGAGTTAGGAGGAGGAGGAGGAGGAGGGAAGGATGAGGGAGGGGGGAGGAGAGGAGGAAGGAGGAAGGAGCTGAGGAGGGATGAGAGAGGCGGCCTGGGCCCCGGGCCGAAGCAGCGCAGGGTCGGGGGACCAGGGGGGTTGAGACACCCCAATTTCCCCCCTCCCCTGTCCCCCTGCCCTTCTCCATCCTTTCCTCTCATCCTCCAGCTTGAGGGGGAAGATTTATTCAAATTCTATTTAAATCCCTACATCCCGAGGGTCGCGCGCTGGGGGGAGGGGGAA